AGGTCGACTGCAACTGTGGCCGCGTTTCGTTGCTTTTCTCGTTCTTGGTTTCCCCTTTAAATCGCGCTTCTTTTTTCTGCTGTGCTTACGGGTATGTTCACGAGTTGTTGTGTTTTTCGCGTGTGTGCGTTTATGTATCTTTGGGTGCGGGGGGAATGGACGGTGAAATATTTATGGAAGACGACAGGACGGTTTCGCTTGCAATGGTGGGTAGGAGGGGGCGGGGTGGGGTTGGGGAGAATGGGGGTGGCTCACGAGAAGCCGACATCCTCTCACCGGGATAGCTCTCTTCGCATCGTGAGATCGTCGCCGCGAGAGAGGCCCCAGCACGATAGCCCCACATGGAACCGGCCCTACGCGAACGAATCGCCGAGTTGTGCACCCCCGCCTTCATCTTTGTTGTTAGCCACGGAGATAGATCGGTCGAGTAAGGGCTGATTCAAATAAAGCCCAGCGTGTTATTCGTTTGTCGTACTCTAGTTACCATAGTGTCGTGTGGCCCGCTGGAATGATGGTAGAAGTGAGGTGGGGTTAGTTACTCTTGGCTTCTTTTGGGGGACGTCTTGGCGGGATTCTTTTTTTCTCTCTGTATTTTAAAGGGTTGTTCGTTTCTTCATGTGATTGTTTCTCCAGTGTAATTTTTTGTTGTTTTTTTATTTTTTTTTTTTCAAAAAATGGCTGAAAGTTATTTGATTGCTGTTCTCGTTTGAATATTTTATGTCTTATTGGCATGTTTTCGATCTTGATTGTTTTTGAGTGGATGGGTTTGTTGGTGTTTTCCGTCCCTGTATTATCGGTATCGGGAACTTATTGGACGGGCTTCCATAGTTTTGTCCCTAGTAGAAGAAAAATGATTTATTGAGATGGAGAAAAAATCTTCTAAGAGCGGAAACTGTAAGTATCTTTTGTTGTTCCTCACGGCTTATGCCCCCTCCGCCGCCTGTCGCCTCCCACGCCAGAGTTAGGAGAGAGAATCAAGAAAGTTGGGAATGAGAAGAAGGGGAGAATGTGAAACATAAACAGGTGCCATCCGTATTATTTTGTTAAGACCTTGGATATTAGGTTGTCATCTTAATGAAGAGAGATTTTGTGATCGTATGTTTCGCGAAGGAATCTTGTCATTAGATCCTGTTACTTCTGTCTCTAGGCTGCTGTTTGAGGTGATTCATAGTAATGTGTTTGCGGATCTGCGTTGCATTCATGTCCACCTTTGCCATGCTGAATATCCCAGAGGACGGGAAATCTACACAATACAATGGCGAGAACTCCTGATATACCGGTTACGATTTCGTTATGTATCCCTGACGTGAACGGGGTTTTCATGAGAGTTTTGATTTTGTTGAGCTTTGTTGTTTTTTTTGGAACCGCGATTGTTTGATTTTGATGATTTTAGTTTTGATCTTTGAGTAAGACAGAGAGCTCGTGGACTTTGGCCGTTTCCTAACACGAGGATGCAACTCTCGATATTTGTCCTGGTGATGGTAAGCAGCGACTCGCGTTGAAACTACATATGGATATCAGTTTTAAAAAAACATATGACATCATTTATATCGGGTTCGTTTACTGGGGAGAATTTGTGTAGGGACGGCTACAAAGACGCATTGAATGTGGGGTGTAATGTACGGGCGACTAGGAATGGATTATAGCGGTTATACCCACAAAACCGGATATCCTGAGTCCGAGTAGTTAAGTAGAGGGTAGCTAACTAAATGGAGCATATGTTGTCGCACTGTAACCACTCAGCAATTAATGCGCCGAGGAAAAAAAAAGAAAAAGGGGAAAAAATATGTAAAAGTTAGCCTTATCGCAAGTATCAGTAGCTTTTTTTAGGGCCTGAGAGATATGGAGCAGATTTGAGTGCGCTTGCGCGAATATAAGCCCACTTTAAGCTTCTGTACAATGCAACGTTTTGTATAGCAGCCGTGTGCAGAGAGGTTGGAAAATTAGGATTCCTCCCGCTCTCTCAAAGCAGCGGCATGGATTCTAAATCGCGACTGCTTAAAGGAAGCTAATGTTCTTTGCACACAACAATATGCACCAACATTTCATCTGCGTCCCGTGCGTTCTCCTGTAGCTTTGTGGCACCTATGGTTTGTCCACACCAGGATTCACTCATGAAAATTTTACGACATACATCCATGTGATGAGAAAACTGCTCTAGGCGGGCTACTATTTTGGCTGCTGGAACTTTTGGCGCCGCTTGTTTCGGCATTTGCCTCGACGAAGCGGCACGTTCTTGCAATGTGGAGAGGTTGTTGAGACAAGACTGGAACGCATAACTCACGCCTCAGTTTACAATAGGGGGGGTGGGTAGGTACGTGCGACCATAGCTAAGTTATCGGACGCAGGGGACCACACAGTTCTTCTTTCTTAAATTGGTATGGGTGTGCTCTCATTGCCGATTTGCACTCATGTATCATATGGACGGCTCTTCGGTGCCATGCTCAGCAGCAAACACGACTGTGCCAGAGATCGGTCGTGCACAACCAATACTATGTTAGCAAAGAGACAGTTTGGACGAAATTATAGGACGCCTGGTGCAGAAGTGTGATGTGGCGCTTATACCGTGAATTCTCTAAGGCATGCGACGGTTAGATGGTCGTATGCTTCTCGCCTCCAAATACAAGGATGTGCTTACGGCCCTTCTCCCCGGGTGGATTGCAATTTTCTTGCGCACAGGGTCTAGGCCATGAAGAGTATAGTACGTGAATGCTCCAGCGCAGACCTATAAATCACGCGATCGACCGGTGGGTGCCAAGGGTTCGGTACTGGAGCTCCGTCTATTCTTGGTTCTTCAAAACGATCTAATGAGTCAAATTACGCCAAGATGTTTATTCTACGCTGTGACATCAAACGTTTGGCGAATGTGATCAGAGCCCCAGAGACGTAACCGTTTCACATCGATCTTGACAAGCTCTTTACGGATTCTCGCGTCAAAGACATCATGTCTCGCCTTTTCTTCAATGTGGCGCTAAATGTGTCAATTGCTCTTTCGATTTTGGATTTACCGACATGGTATCTATCCTATAAGCTCTGCGACCCAGGGAGCTGCAACGCTGTTTTCTCGGACAAGGATCTCAGTGTGTTGGTCCTAGGAAAGTCTCGGCGTCGGACGGTTCAAAAACGCATCGAAGGAGGAGAAGTCACAGTCGTGGGGCTTTGATAGAGAGCTTTCGGGAACACTTCAAACCGTGATTTCCGCCAGAAACTACTTCGCGCTCGGTTAAAATCCGCCTTCACATGTTGATACATGCAGTCTTGCAAGCATCGGCACCAATGGCTAAAGTGGGGATATCATGGCCTTGGAGCCATCCCCAACGTCAGGTGACCAAACATAGTCAAGGGACTGCTGCTCTCGACTTTGTCATTAGCACAGCGGCTCCTAGTGTTTGACATTTTTAGTGGGACGTTTTACGCCGTGGGTTGCTGTGTGGACCTAAATCATGCTATTCCAGCACTCGATTTAAACCACTTATTACATCCCTGCCATCACAATTGTAGTGAGACAGCCACACAGCTCACTGAGGGCTAGCATCTCGGTATTGTAATGTCGCAGGACCACTTCTTCTCTGTTGTGTGTTAGAGTCGTACCCCCGTGAGTAATTAGACCGCATGATAGCTAGACAAAAATTCTGTCCCCCACTAACTAGACTATGTCCTGTGATTCTGTAGCCCCCCCCCCTTTCCCATGAGATATAGACCCCCCCCCCCCCAACAACAACAACACCCCCACCCCCCCCCCCCCCCCCCCCCCCCCCCCCCCCCCCCCACCACCACCCACCCCCACCCCCCCCCCCCCCCCCCCCCCCCCCCCCCCCCCCCCAACTACACTCATCAGCAGAAGATATGTGTGTGTGTCCTGTAGCTATAATGTACTTAGCGCCAGCTGTGCATGGATATATCGGTGATTGATGTGAGGGATCAGTGTCGCCTGGGTAAAAGAGTATACCACAATATGTGTTATAAGATTACAACATGTGTTCTAAAATAACTAATATGTAAGGTCGGCAAAAAAATTGTTAGAAGAATCATCAGCTTACACCTGTGAGTAGTGTGTGTGTGCCGTCGCTAATATGTGTATGAAGAAGTAATGTGTGTTAAGAAGCTTACTGTGTGGTACTGTGGAAACCATACCAAATATTCAGTTTCCTTGTGTACCAATCGGTCCCCTCTAGTCAGAAGAGAGAAAAATGTCTTGGCGGCGTCACAATGATCAGTGTGTACACGCGCGCGCACCAAAGTGCAAGGTGTTGAGACCATCCCAGTGAACTCATGTGTTCATCTAATGAATTTCTTTGTGTAAGATGATGTCTTTGGTCATGTAGTAGTGCATGTGTGTTGTCAACAAGGCTGAGAATGACGTTTTGGACAACTCGCGCATCGGGTATGAAGTCAGGCATTAGATATGTTTATCCCTTATGTAAACAGTAAAGGCTTTTTTATTCCGCAGCCTCTTGTACCCCATGCCTGGAATAGTGTATCAAGTTAAGACTCTTGTGTCAAGATGTGATGTGTATCAAAAACACAATGTGGATTATGCCTCTAATAAACTATGTTAGTTACGCTGTATGCGCATCTTGTGTTATGTACCGTTGAGTGGTTCCGATCTGTAACTTGTGCGACACTCAACGCCTCTATAAGGTATTTCTTTAGAAGCACACACCGCTGAGCTAGAAATCATCGTTCCGAATGTTACTAAAGAATACATGTGTTGTTACGCTCCATAGATTAAAGTTTGCAACTCTTAGACAAAATAACTCTAAGCTATATTTTATGTGGTTGAATAGTCGATTAGTTGCACCGAACGAATCGTCGCTTACCAAGCGATATAATGAAATCGTAATAACACTAGAAGAAAGTGAGGTGTTGTGTGTGTGTAACGAAATGTGTGTGTCACTCAAAATATGCTGTATAAGTATAACATAATGTTAAAATCCGAACAATTACAAAAAATCCCTAGCTGTCATTAAGTCTAATCTGAATCAGTTGTTTTAACATGTGAAAAGAAAGTGTAAGTGTAATGATATGAAGTCGCGCTATGTTTGTGTTGTGTGATGTATGTCGTGTGTGAGACAGTATGCAAACAATTTTGATGTGTGTGTGTGGAAGTGGATTGTATTAACCGAAAAATGAGAAAAATTTGCAAAAAAGTGTTCGAAAGTAAACACACTCACACTCTCTCTCTAAACAACTAAAATTTAAAACAACACAAACAAAACCATTACAAATAACAAAAATGATTAAGTGTACGTGTCACAAAAATCACAAAACAGAAAAATATGGTGAAAGTGAGAATAAAAACTGTGTGATGTGTTAGAAGTTGTGTATTATGTGACAAAAAAATGGAAAATAAAGAGAAATAGAGAGATGTGTGTGTACAGTTGTGAAAAGTCGGCTCTGCAATTGTTATATGTGCAAGAGATAAATGTGTGTGAAACAAATTATTAAATTTTTAACATAAGAAAAATAATCAGTATTACCCAACTAATAGTTTGAAATTTATTTGGGGGATAGGCTAAGTTCGCTCGCCATTTGCAGTTATTCAGATATATTCCTAGATTGCCATTTTCGGCTTTATTTTCTGTGCCCCTGAGAACCGGCGGGACTACTTGTCTAGCTTCGTCTGTGTTGCTCATGCCGCAATTCTATCAGTTTACCACCCTGACCATCTACCACGGGAGATCGTCGTTAATGCCACAGACAGTTGTTTGTATATTACTGAGTATATGCGTCGGTACAAAATGTCTTGATAATGTTTCACTAACTACAACGAACGTGTCGTGCAGTATCTACTAGTCAGGAGCCCCTGTTATTGTTATGACCGGACTACTCAGTTTGAGCTGCTATCAGACAGTGGACTCTCCCCAAGTGAATAATCTCAGCTCGCCTGGTGCCAATCGCGGACCTGCCCCTATCCCACTGAAGACCATGCCCTCTGTGGTAGAGTATAGTTGAACCGACGGTAATTGCACGCACATCTTGCGAACAAGGGTTGTATGACACGGGTTACACAGACAAGACTACAGCGTTTCAACACGTCCCCTTAGGCTGGACACTTATATTGCCGAAACATTCACATTGCGGTGATCCCTGAAAAGCGTATTTGGTGGAGTCGGCATCGCCGTCATTGAGAGTATAGAGAGGAGAAATGACCTGCGTGAGATTCTGACGCGTCTTTCTCACAGCGCCTATAAATACTCATTATGCATCCGCATTTGTCGTTCGGGTGTTTATTGTACCGGCCTCTGTGTTATATTGTAGAGAATTTGTTAGAAGCCTCGCGTAGTATAAAGTTACTCGTACCCCAATCTCCTCGACAACACATGACATACCCACAGCGGTCCACGTATCGTTTTGTTACAATGATGCCGAGTTGGGGGCAGAGTGTCTCTGAACGCATGAAGATATTAGGATGAGCGTTCGGCAAGGCTGGGTACAATCGTGATCGTAGGCTAAAAGCAGCTATAGATTTATGCGAGCATGATGCCGTGACGGCTGTTACTGATCGTGTGTTTCGTCCCTAGCTTTGTAGGAGTTAGAACTAGGTTGAAAGGATTGTGTTTTATTTCGATGCGATTGGAGCTCGGCAAATGCTGGTTTGTGAGTTTTCTTCAGAGATGTCTCGGTACTAGATCCTTCTGAGAACCGTGTCATCCCGCCTATAGACGGTTTCCATTTATAGACGAAATGCAGCGTCTAGAGTCTCGCGTCAGGATGCAGCTGGCAGCTCGATATTTCTTGAGTTGCACTCCTCCGGTGAGAAGGAGTCTCGCTGATCGTATGACCAACGATCATCCTGTGTTTCTCGCCCCCCTGCTGCATACTCCCCAGGGGATGCATATGCCTACGTGCGATGCGCACGTAGGGGTTCACGCATTTGACGCTCTACCTATATGATGTGTTCGATGATCGACGAACAGCTCTTGAGACGACATGATGGGCACGCCGTAGAAGTGTTGGAGATAGTGGCATCGTACGCGTCTGCGCGTGCTCCCTCAGCAGCTGTAGTTCTGTGCACAACGTCTCGCTCACGCGAATACCAGTGTCAGCCTGTCTATCGCTACCTGAGATGAAGAGCTCGTTCTAGCAAGGATGCGCACTCCACTCGCATGTATCAGTGCACGTCTTATTCCTGGCGTGATGTGACGCAGTGTGACGCGTGCACTTGCTCTCTAGCGCTAGACGATAGTAGGTTCATCGTATGCTCGCCGTATTAACGCGCTCATTACTAGTGCTACTCACTATCATGTGTCACTGCTGGAGTCTCGCATCGTGTGCTCAGTATTACTTGTCGGTATAGCTATGTCGCTACACTGATCTGCAGTGACATCTTAGCATTAAAACAGGGAAAGATCTAGCGGAGATAAGCAGTTGCCAGAGTCCTGATCGTATAAGCAGCCAGGGAATTAAGCGCGGTCAACCTCAGTGCCCTGGCGGGCCTTCCGCAATTAGCGCCTATTCACATTCTGTGGGATAATATCATGCTGTCGATGTTATAGAGCTGCCATCGCCCTAACAGGTCACTATGTAAGACTATCCGCATGGAGGAAGCAAGTTGTAGCACCTAGAATCCGCGAACGCTAGGAAGTGTGTCTCATCCGAGTCTGATACTATGTACCACTAGAATGTAATATGGCGAGATTCTCCCCAGGCTCCGAATGACGTCAAGCGTCCGCAGTCCCATCTAATCTCAGCTGTCGTGTCGCAGATCCAAGCGTACCTCGATGGCCAGCTGTGCAGTCGCCTTGACGCTCGCGCTACTCTATAGCATCTCGCTAGTGTGCTAGCCGCGCACGCCACCCCCGCTGTGCCTCAGGCTCTGGCAACCGATTGTTGCTGTTTTTCCAGGTATTCCGCCCCCCCCCCCCCCCTTATACATCCCCAGCCCCCCCTCCAGTGTTGACGTCACACTCGCGCACTCATCAGCTTCGTCTTGAGGCTACAGCAGAGGAGTCGAGAGTCACATAGGTGATGCTTTGGCCTTGGCTACTGAGCACGTGCTAATCGACTTTCACTCAATTGCGGGGTTATAATGTTAAGCTACCAATAGATGGGTGGAACTGAGAGGAGGATATCGATATCATACTTGTAGGGAGGTTTACTGTTACTTGGACTGTGGTTCAGCTAGCTTGCGTCGAGCGCTCGATTCCTTCCAGTGCTTTTGAGTGCACGAAGCTGGTAGCTGCGTCCCCATCGGGGCCGATGTAGATCGCCGGCAAGTGCGGAACCTCCTTGAGGCACAGAAGCTGGAGTCTGAGTAGAAAACTTATGATGTTGCTGTAGAAACTCCATGCGATCTAGTGAGTGTGCGAGGACGCTTCTCTGGGTACTGTGTCACAGGGCTGCTGTCGTAGCATAGATAATGAAATTGCGGAGTGAAGAGATACGCGCGTGTCCTCAGGAGTACCAGCTGCTCGTCGGTGTGTGTGTTCTCGCGCACCTTATATGACCCACGACCGTGTGCGCGAGTGAAGAAAATAGATCAGTTAGGCGCTCTCCTCACGCCGCTTAGATCTTCTGTGTGTGTTCCCCCCCCCGTCTCTTTCGAGAGATGTCCCGCCTCGATGTACCTAACAGTAGTTTGTTCTTTGCCCATAGAATTCTTTGCTAGGTACTGTTGATGTCCTTTGCGTACAAAGTGTAGTGCAAGAATGTGCTGCGTAATGGGTCCAGGATAATTGCGCGACCCAAGTCTCTGAGATCCGGGTTTTACCTCCGCGTAGAGTGTAGCACGATCTCGCCACAGGCACCTTCGAGGCCTGCTCCTTAGAATTGTGACGCTTGTGCGGGAAAAAATGGGGCTTGGTCCTGACGTTCTGTTGCGATGTCGCTGTA